TTTTCAAAATCGTGATTTATGATTGAAAAATAATATGTGACCAACTAAATTGTGAAACTGTGACCAAATTATATAGATATGTGATCTTAATATAATTAATTAATGAAATGTATAATTAATTAATTAAATCATAAATAAATTTTATTAAATATCTGATTTTTGAAAGTTTAAATTTATGTTCTTAATTTTGAAATAGATCGTACTTAACCTCTTACTTTTGAAAATTTCCCCTGATTTTATAATGTTAACTTTGGTACCAGGTCTGCCAAGTTCACAGGGAAAACGTTACAAATTGATACATGTCCCCATTTAGTGCTATTGATGTTAATTTTCCGAAATGAAAATGGAATTAAACGAGTAGCCTGTGTTGGGCCAATTGATCCTACTATTGATATTTAGGCCCAGTATTATTGCGGGTCGAGTGCATTATATAGTTGGCCCATTCCGAACTTTGCCACCCTTCCATTATTTCCAGCTTACATGCCAAGTCAACTAAAAGTCTCCTACGGAAATGTCAAATTGACTTGTGGTCACTAAACTTTTAATTAAATCTCATATTGGTCATTAAAATCTATTATATTTTAAATTTGTCATTAAACATAAAATTTTATTTCAAGTTAATCATTCCAACCATATTCATGAATTTGACTAAAAGAAAATAAGGTGGTTGTCTAGCTATTTGCTAAATAAAATTACACATATGGAAGAGATCACGAAACGATCCAATTGTAACAAATGTTTAACTTTAATGACTAATTCAAAATAAAACAAAATGTTAGTAACCAATATGAAATATCGTTAGAAATTGAGTGACCACCCGTGTTTTTTACTTCCAAGAAAAGAAAAAGGGGTTCTTAAATCCATTTTCTCTATTACAACCCCAGTTTCAAGAAAATCAGTCAGTACTCAATATGGTGGGAGAGAGGGTTGGGGAGATAACAGGTTTGAGAGAAGAGCTTATACTCAGATCTTGTAAATTAGCCATTAAAGCCCATGACAAGTACCCTGGGAAGCCTTATATTTATGACAAAAATAGGGGTTCCACAGATGCTGTTTTTGCCTTTCCCGGCTCCTGGTTGGTCGATCATTGGTACAGTCGAAAGCCTTTTGGAGAAACTAAGGTTGACCTTTCCAAGTTTCCATCTCTAATAAGTCTTGGAAATGATGAAATAGCCCTAGTAAATGAAGCATTTAGCACAAGATTTGAACAACTTTTGAGCAAATCATCACTTGCAACTGAGGTATCTTTTCATGTACATGATCTTATTTGCCAAATATTCATGCCTTTTATTTTTTGGGTAAAAAGGGCTTTATCTTGTCTATTTGTATGTCAAATATTGCTGGTTAGAAAACAGGACGAAATCTGTGGTCAACCAAGAACCAGATGAAGTGACAGTGGGCTCACCGGATTTGTTGGTTGGCTTTCTTGTTAAGAGGCTACACAGTCTTGCCATAAATTATGCAATCTTGTATGAATATAATTGATCGAACCCCTTGATCTTGACCGTTTGCAGTTCAATGCTTGGGCTGAGTTTTAAGTTTAATGCGTGTATCATAGATAGATTACTACNGCAACTTCACTTGGAATCCCCAAATTTTATAGGTAACAATTTGAATTCTTCAATAAATATGAGTCAAAAAATATGATTTCACCAGCAAAGGAAACACACAGATCTGCTATTGATAATTTTAATCTTGCATCTGCTTTACTGTATAAAAAAGCATCTAAATAAGTGATTATTTTGGAGGTTGAAGATGGACTAAACTTGAACTGGATTTCAGGTGGAGAAAGCAGTATCAGACAGAAAGCAAGTAGTATTTACTGGGTATTCCTCAGGTGGTCCAGTGGCAATTCTTGCAGCCATTTGGTTCTTAGAGAAATATGTTAGATTGAATGCTTCTCAGATTCCTCCTTACTGTGTAACTTTTGGATCCCCCCTAGTTGGCAATCAGATTTTTTCTCATGCTCTCAGACGAGAAAACTGGACACGCTATTTCGTTAATTTTGTGACAAGGCATGACATTGTCCCTCGAATAATGCTAGCCCCTGTATCCTCAACTGAACAAGGATTGAAATTAATGCACGAGTTAACAACTACAAAGTCCCAGTATTTTCAGCATGCGTTTATCCCCAAAATCGATTCTGCATCTGCTTTCTTCTTGTCTGTTATGAGAAATGCTTCTTCTGTTGCAAGTCATGCTGCATGTAATCTCATGGGATGCACAAATTTGTTACTAGAAACTGTATCTAGCTTCATTGAACTCAGCCCATATAGACCTTTTGGGACCTATATTTTCTGCAGTGGAAATGGAAAGCTGGTTGTTCTTGATAACCCGAATGCTGTTCTGCAGTTGTTATTCTACTGTCTTCAGTTGAGTCCTGGAGAAGAAAATTCAGAGTTTCTTTGTGGAATCTTTAAAGAACATTTGATCTATGAAAGTGAATTGCAAGAAAGCTTAAACATGCAAAATGTGATCTATGTAGAAAATCTCGTTGACGTACCCTTGTCTTCAGATGCTGCCGGCACAAATGATGCAGCTGCCTTGGTGAACTCGGCTCTGAATGATTTAGGCTTGGTAAGAAATCTATTGCTGCATTATTTACTATAGCATTTTAATGATTCAGTATGATGTTTAAGAACCCTTTGTGTTGGATTGCCAGAGCATGAGAGCTCGACTGTGTATGCGAGCTGCTGGCGAGTTGGAGATGCAAAAGCTGGAAAATCAGAGAAAGGTTGATTCTAATAGAGACACCATACGGGATGGACTAAGGAGGATACAGGAATACCAGACAAACTGTGAGATTCGCAAGATTGGTTACTATGATGCCTTCAGAAACCAGAGAGATACAAATGACTTCAATACTAATGTCAAAAGGTTGGAGCTAGCAGGGATATGGGACGAGATCAAGGAAATGATCAAAAGGTGCGAACTGCCAGATGGATTTGAGGGCCGGAAAGAGTGGATAGAACTTGGAACCATGTATCGTAGACTGGTAGAGCCTTTGGACATAGCTAACTATTATAGACACTTGAAGAATGAGGATACGGGACCTTACATGATTAAGGCTCGACCGAAGCGTTACAGAGTTACACAAAGATGGAGGGAGCATGCGGAAAGGATGTCTGTTGGATCAAGCTCAGAGTCTACTTTCTGGGCCGAGGTCGAAGAGTTGAGAACTAAACCATATTTAGAAGTACAGGATAAAGTTT